GCGGACAATAACCGGTGTTGAGACAGTTTCTCAATGGAACGAAAGCGTCCTGATTTTCTTAGAATTTTGAACGGATTCCAGTTTTATTTTGCATAGTTTCAACACATGTATGTATGTTAAAATTCTTATTATGGATATGTAACTTAAATAAAATAAAATTTGAAATGAACTACCACTAACCATACAGTGGTAGTGAAATTTGAAATACATTACCACTAAGTGCATAGTGCATAGTGCATAAAAAATTATTTCACTATCACTATTTTGTTAGTGGTAGTGCCAAATTGTTTTCACTACCACTATGCACTTTAGTGGTAATGTATTGCAAATATCACTACCACTATATGGTAGGTGGATATACATTTTTGAACAGTGCTGTTATAAGGACATTAGACATCTTGGAAATAAAAATTGGGGTTAATTTATGACACTTTCACTGGAAGTATTGTATTCAATAACGAAAGGATGCCTTAAATCTTTTGATCTGGTATAAATAACTATAGAATCGGCTAACTAAGAAATTTGCACAGATTGCAAACTTTTCCTAAATTTGTAAACTAATGTAATTAGTCAGTGATAGTGAAATTTTCATTCCCTTACCGCTCACCACATAGTGATAGTGAAAATTCGATTAGTGAAAATCTCGATTTAGAGCAGCGTGCCCAACCCTGATTTCTGCCATGAAAAACAGCTTCTCATAAAAATACAATCGCCGTTCGGAGTCGGCGTAAAACTGTGGGTCCCTCCCCTTTGTGTGAAAACATCAAGGCGCATGCCACAAATCGGAGGAGAAGCTCAGCCAAACACTAGCATACATATGTATAAGCGTCAATCTATTATTATAATTATTATTATTACGTTGGTGTTGGTTGATTTTTCCGACAGGGTGGTAAGATGATTTATTTTGGAACGAATTTCCGTCATCCCTTGTCAAGTTTGGTTTGCAGACAAACCGGTTTCGGCGTTGTGCCATCTTCAGTGTCATTTTTCGTTCTGTCTGGTTCGAGATTTGTCCCTAATTTATGTTCATTTATCTTAGGTAATGAGATTTTCGTCGATGATTAATTACTAGATATGCCATGGTGCCCATTTATTTTTTTTTTTTTGAAGCAGGTAATAGGTTCATCTTCGCTGTTTCGATATTAACATCCATTATGTTGTCGCTGTATGGTTTTTGCCTGCAGGTAGGTAAAAGTCAGTGATTTTTGCCCTGGTGGTGCTTTTTGGTGTGTTCGGAGTGTCCATGCCTGTTGTTTTGTTGTCATTTTTCTTTTTTTCGTAAATAAATTTTAAGGGTTCGAATATAACATCCGATGCGGTATTTGTTTGTTCGTTTATTATTTTGCCGTCGAAGGTTTTTAGTTTGTATATTTCCATATTTTCTAGGACGTTTAGTCGTTGTCCTTTATGTTGTACATGCAGTAGTTTCGCTGCCTTTCTTATTTGCGTTGGTGAACATTTGTTGTTAAACATGTGGTTAGCAAAATTTGACTCTGGTATTGCGCTCGGTTTCTGTGTCTTTTTGTTATAGTCTCTTATATGCTCGCGGAATCTTGTTTTTATTTTACGTCCTGTTTGACTTACATAGGTCAAACAGCTGGCATTTGCAAGTTAGTTTATAGACTCCTTGTTTATCCAATGGATCTTCTTGATTTGTGGTGTTCCGTAGTATCCGTCCCACGTTGTTATTTGTTCTGAATGATGTGCGAAGGTTGTGTTTCTGGAACAGCTTTGCAAGTTTGTACGTTGACTTTCCAGTATAGGTTAACACCGCCCTCCGATGAATGCACTACCTAAAATCCACAAACTAGGCACACCCATGAGACCAATCATAAACCACAGATCGGCCCCAAGCTATAAACTATCAAAACACTTAAAAACTATACTAAAGGACAACCTTGGATTGCCCAATAAGTACACAATATCTAATACAACGGAATTGATTGAAAAAATAAAAGACTCAGCGATCACGATGGATACTAAACTGGTATCCTTCGACATAAAAGATCTATACCCATCGATACCAATAACGGAAACAATAGATATCGTATTCAAAATACTGATTGAAAAAACAGGAAACAGAGAAATCGCCGTAGAGATAACTAATACACTCAGAACGACGTTGCATCAAAATTACTTCAAATTTAACAACAACATATACATGCAAACAAACGGGCTAGGCATGGGCAACCCCACATCGGCGATCCTTATGGAGGTATTCATGCAGAATTTGGAAGAAAGGTACGTGGAGTATCTTACATCACAACTAGGAGCGACGTTCTACGCCAGATACGTAGATGACATCATATGTCTTATAACAAAGAAAAATGAAGGACAGATATTGGAATACCTTAACAAACAGCACAGCAATATAAAATTCACAATGGAACAAGAAATGCAAGGAAAGCTAAATTACTTAGATCTGACGATAAAAATAAATAAAAGCACCAGCAGTCTGCAATATGAAATTTTTAGGAAGCCCACAGCCACAGATACAATAATACATAATACATCGAACCATCCTCATCAGCATAAAAAAGCCGCCTTTAGACAGATGATCAATAGAATTGAGCGAATACCACTAACAAAGAAGGATACAACAAAGAACTAAACGCAATATGTGCCATAGCGGCTAATAACGGATACAAAAGAGATCTGGTAGAAGAAATCCGAAGGGAGCACAAAAACAAAAAGCCAAACAAAGAAGAAAACAATAACAAAAATTGGGCGGTATTAACCTATACTGGAAAGTCAACGTACAAACTTGCAAAGCAGTTCCAGAAACACAACCTTCGCACATCATTCAGAACAAATAACAACGTGGGACGGATACTACGGAACACCACAAATCAAGAAGATCCATTGGATAAACAAGGAGTCTATAAACTAACTTGCAAATGCCAGCTGTTTGACCTATGTAAGTCAAACAGGACGTAAAATAAAAACAAGATTCCGCGAGCATATAAGAGACTATAACAAAAAGACACAGAAACCGAGCGCAATACCAGAGTCAAATTTTGCTAACCACATGTTTAACAACAAATGTTCACCAACGCAAATAAGAAAGGCAGCGAAACTACTGCATGTACAACATAAAGGACAACGACTAAACGTCCTAGAAAATATGGAAATATACAAACTAAAAACCTTCGACGGCAAAATAATAAACGAACAAACAAATACCGCATCGGATGTTATATTCGAACCCTTAAAATTTATTTACGAAAAAAAGAAAAATGACAACAAAACAACAGGCATGGACACTCCGAACACACCAAAAAGCACCACCAGGGCAAAAATCACTGACTTTTACCTACCTGCAGGCAAAAACCATACAGCGACAACATAATGGATGTTAATATCGAAACAGCGAAAATGAACCTATTACCTGCTTCAAAAAAAAAAAAAATGGGCACCATGGCATATCTAGTAATTAATCATCGACGAAAATCACAATTACCTAAGATAAATGAACATAAATTAGGGACAAATCTCGAACCAGACAGAACGAAAAATGACACTGAAGATGGCACAACGCCGAAACCGGTTTGTCTGCAAACCAAACTTGACAAGGGATGACGGAAATTCGTTCCAAAATAAATCATATTATTATTATATGTGACACGTAAAGTTAAAGGGGACCTACGTTCATAAAAACTCGGTTTTCACTTTTTCATCGACTCTTATAGTAAACGGGCCGCTCTTTCTAATGCAATTTCACTTCAAAATTAAGTACTTTCACAAAAACAACTACAGAAAAAAATCAAATATGAAAAGCTATACTGAACTTGATCAAATCCGCTTGAAACTCGCTACTCGGGGGCTTTCGGGGTCGCTGATTACGAATCCGATGTTAGTCTTTCAAAATTGAAAATGGCGGATCCAATATGACGGATGACTTTTTTTTAAAAATTGATCGGATTCGCTTGAAATAAATTTAAAATTTTGCCCGCCATATTGGATCCGCCATTTTGAATCTTTAAAAACGAACATCGTATTCATAATCAGCGATACCAAAAATCAATTTTTAAAAAATTCATCCGCCATATTGGATCCGCCATTTTGGAAAACTAACATCGGATTCGTAATCAGCGACCCCGAAAACCCCTGAGTTACGAGTTTCAATCCATTAAACGTTCAGAAGCATCAAAATCAACTTGGTAAACTTCAAAGTCGTTTTTCTCGAAATCTTTTTTTCTGAGCGTGTCACATATGTATATTTCCGACAGTGGCGGCAACAACCGGCTTTAGCTTCAGGCGCTAAACGGTTATACAACTTAACAAGCAACATTGATGAGCCTTCAACAAGTATTGCTAAAAGTCTTATAAACAACCCAGAAATAATTTTAGATTCCTCCAGCAAAAGCGAAGGCTCAGATGTAGAATCTGGAGACATTAAGAATGACGACCAAATCGTCAACTTGCAACATCCTTCCCAATAGCCCAGATGAACTTTTATATATAAATTACTTGTTTGACAAATTTAATCTTTTTGCATAAATACTTCCCTTCTACTTATTTGGCGCTGTAACAGACTAAGCGATTTTGGAGGAGTTAAACATGTTAGATTTCAAGGCTGGCATTATTATTGGTTTCACTGCTCGTTCCTAAAGTAACGAAATCAGCAGCCTACTTTTTCGAAATTATGACTCTCAACAGCGACACGGGTGCCGATACGCATGTGCTCGGGCTTTTTGTCTGACGACAGGAGATCCTTTGTTTTGACCTATTCTGGACACATTAAGGGCCAGTTTCTTAGTGCGAGTTTAACTTTGTTTGTCGTTTAAACTAAAACAAATTTAAATCTACTTTAAACTAAGTTTAAACGCCCAATCTGGCTCGGTTAAACCGAGTTTAAGCTATATGCTTTTAAGTTGTATATTTGTAGTCAGCTGCCAAAATTTAGTTGGAGGGGGGGGGGAATTAAAATTGTTTGCGATATACAAGAAAACAGACTCGTTTGTATCGCAGTACATACATAAAAAGCGAATGTTCGTACATAAGATGAAAATTGTGCGCAAGAAAATTAACAAACGCAACTTTCGTTGGAGTTTACTTGCATAGGGCCATTTGGTCGGGCAACACACGAAGCGCCTAACAATTTTTTTAAATTTCCGTCTATAAGCTTTCAGAACTTTAAACGAGAGCGTATCGAAAGTGAAAATAAATGGCTGCAGTTTGGTATCTGCACAAAGAAAAAACCGCGTTGCCTTAAAAACAACTAAACTATCTTACTTGTCAGTAGTTCAAACCTAGTTTAACCTGAGTTTAAACCAGCATTGAAAAACTGGCCCTAAGAGTTTGAATATACTCGTCAGCTGCATGTGCAGTGGGGCAAAGAAAGAGACAGTACATTACCCATTTTCACACTGGGCACAAGCATGTTTTTAAATTTACATATACGCACACATATAAAATATATATTACGCACCTAAAACTCTAACCAAAGCAGATAAGAAGTGAAGTCTTCTAAGCCTCTCTCGTCTTGCTGCCATTAAGTGGGGTACACCTTAGTTGGATCTATGAAAGGCGCATCTCCGCTTTTGCGTTTACCGCTGAGCGCTACAAAGTTACTATAGCTCCCGTTATTTTGAGTTTGAGTTGCCTTTGCCGTCTTTTTTTCGCTGTCATTAATACTTTTGTTATATTACTTACCTTACGACTGGAAAAATTATGCCACAAGTTGTGGCTTGGCAATGTAGATATACTTATGTACCTTTGTATGTACATACATCTGTGTGTACATATGTATGTGAAATATTCTTCTAGTCTCAAACTTAGCTGATTTTGTTGTTGTTATTTTAATTATTTAAAACAACTCCTATGTATGTATGCATGTGCGCGAGTTTCTGCGCGTGTGTGTTTTTGTTCAGTATTTACCCTGCAGTAAATCGCGCTAGTTCAGAACTAGGGCAGAATTAGCTCTCAGGAGGCGGTACTGGTTCTCGATCTATCCCAATGCAATGCTTTCAACTGTCTCTTTTTACATGACGATGTCCTATGAAGTGGAAATTGCGCCCCTCTGCAGAACTTTCGAACTAGTTCTGCACTGGTACCATTTTGGACAGAACTGCGACAATAAATTTTTTATGAAAAAAAAAATTTGATTATTCGATTTTTTGATATTTTTCCTTTCTTTTATGTTCTTTTACAGATTGCATCTTATTAGTTTTTTTTTACTTATATTAAATTTGATCATTTTATTTTCTCTTTAATTTCTAAGCGGCATTCAATAATTTAAATTTATCAAAGCTTTGAACTCGCGACCAACGATGTTAGAGTCGGAGCTCTTCCTGCTGAGCTATTTTCGTATTGTGCGAGAAGGGAGAATTTGTGCATTTACTTCTCAACAGAGTGCAACTAGCACAGCGAAAGTTTCCCGCTCTGCAACCGTTTTTCACTATTTCAGAGATAGTTCTGAAGTATGTAGTTCGAAACTAGCGCTTTGCCAGACTGTCTCTAAATTTTACTGCAGGGTAGTTCCAATCAGGCATATTTCTATCTCTCTATACATCGATCGCTATATTTACACATACATACATACTTATGTACATATATGTATATATATGATGTACGTAAGCACTACGAGAAATTTTTTCCTTCCATTTATATGCTAATTCTTGAGATTATGACTGTTTTGACCCAAATTCCGACTAGAAATTATTGGATATCGCTGTCGTTGCCACTGTTGTTATTACTGCAGCTATTGATGCTGTCGCTGTCATTTGTTCACAAATATGTACAATGATGTAGATTAATACAAATGCATGTAAAAACAAATACACATATGTGCAATATATTATTAACGTACACATACATACATTATACAATGCCACCGCCTGATTTTTGTTTACTTGTAGTTAGGTGAAAAATACGGATATATCTATCATTCTGTATGACATGTATCAGTGTCATGATGGCGCTGTGGCTAAGTGCTTAAAGGCGCGCACTACAACTCCGTCGGACCTGGCTTCGAGCAACATCCAAAAATTAGAAAAAAATTTTTTCTAACAGCGGTCGTCCCTAAGCATACAATGGCCAACCTCTGAGTGTATTTTTGCCATGAAAAAGTACCTCATAAATCAATTTTTGTTCGGAGGCGTCCCACAACTGTAAGTACATCCATTTGTGTAACAACGTCAAGACGCATACCACACATTTGGAGGAGAATCTAAGCCAACGATTTCGCAAAAGTGAAAGCGCCAAAATATTAATATTATTATCAATGTCAAGATTGTTATTTAGGGTTGTCAAACACAGACAATTATTTTATAATCAATTCCTTATATATTTGTATACATGAGTGTATTCCGAAATGAAATGAAAAGTCCGAAATAATTCTCAATCCTGCTGGAAACCCCCAAGAAGATCTTGAAGTGTGACAAAAACATATTTCGGGTTTCGAGCCATTTAATTTTTAGTATTACCGTACACTGTGAAGCATAACTGCAGACGCACTTCTCTTCTTCTTATTATTTGACGCTGTAACCACCTAAGCGATTTTGGTCGGGTTCAAAAAAGCACAGTTGTTATTCTTCTGTGCCACCTGATGCCAATTGGAAATTCCAAGCCAAGCCAAATCCTTCTCCACCTGGTCTCTCCAACGCAGAGGAGGCCTCGCTCCGTTGGCTAGGAGCCGCTGTATTTTAATTCCCTGCAACAAAACTTTCCAAATTTCAAAAGATTTGAACGTACTGATTCCGAATGTAAGGACTTGCCACCTTTTCTCCTGGCTGAAGTCCTTGGCAAGTCGGCTTGAAAGGAGAGGATTTTTCCAAAATATCACGGTGAGCTTGGATAAGGTTTGAACCAACCAATTTTTTTCCACATTTTCATTCTGTCATCATAACCAAATGACTTGAGCTAAAAATGAGAATCTTTTATGTAAGTATTCGAAAGATATTTCGATTTGCCTTAATATTTCATAAGATAACTTTTCTAACTAATTATTCTACAGTAAAAATGTCGGACGTAAAATCTTCGTCTATCCATTGCCAATAATATTTATTTAACTTTATTGTAAAAGTCATTTGCTTGAGCTTCAAAATTTGCATTGATTTATTACACTGTGGACACTATTGAATTTCAGTTGACACTACTGTTAATTAAAATGGAATAGTAAAATTTGTTTCGTCACGGCAATACACAATCACGTTGCTCCGCCGTTAAAGCAATGCTGTAGTGTGCTTGTGATGAAAGAGAAGTAATTTCAGTGTTCGCATAAAATGAAGCACAGTGAAAAGGAGAAAAGTTCACTTCTGTACACTATGAAGACTCTGCAAGCAAAATGTTTTGTGGTCGCGTTTAGTGTATACACAAATGTTGAGATTTCCAAAATTAGTACGTAGGCTAGATGAATTTAACTTTAAGCAGTAAAACAATTGAATTATTATTATTGTTTTTTTTTTTATTTTAAGAAGCATCCTTTGTAGGTTAAAGTACATTTCAACAAAAACTAAACACCTTTTTGCATGATTTTGAGTCAAATACTCTATAAAGAGTTCGTTGCTTAAGTCTTTTGAGTTTCGTTTTTTTCTCTCTACTTGCAGTTTTCATCACAACTTCAGACAAGAATTCATGCGACATTTAAGCCCGGAAGCGACACCTATACCCTACGAAAACTCTACAAATTTCCTGTGTACACCTGTTGCTGAAAAAAGGATCAAGCATATTTTTCTCTTGTGAGCACAAGAAACAACAAAAATCACTCATATGCGCCACAGAATACGATGAAGTTTTCCAGCATGAACGGACCAAGCGAATCTGAAGTTGAAAGTCTACTTATGAGTCCATGCTGGGGTCCCACACAAAACGGTAGCCAGGATCAATACCTGCTTGATGGCCATAAACTGCTGCTCGAACATGACCTTGACTCGCTGCCCAGCGATTCCGAACAAAAGAACTCGCTAGATGTGCTCGACAATCTGCTATTGAATACGTCCTCACTAAATGCGCTTTCCGATCTAAAACCACTACCACCGTTCACCGGCTATACGGGGCATTTGTCCATCAATGGCATCTCCGGACACCATTACCATGCGATCGCACAGAGGCTACCTGATGAGAGTAACAACAATTACATACAAAGTGCCTACCAGACGAATCATTCGACTACGTCGACGACGACAGGAAACGCCTCCACAAGTATACAGCTGGCAGCGGCGACGTCGGGTACATCACCGCTACCATCGATGCAGGGCAGTGGTGCTGGCGGCGGCGGTGGTGCCAACAGTCATGGCTCTTCAGCCGACCATAACATTGTTTCCTCGTCTACTTGCCTGCCTGAGAGCGTGTTAAGTCCGGATGCGGACGCCTGTCTGGGTGATGTAAAACTCTTTGCGGATAGTCAATTAGATAATAAGCTATACTCGATGGCCGACAGTTGTGTAATGTCGGCAGCTAATTCGGGTAGCCTCGGTGGTGGCGGTGGCGGAGGCAGGAATGGCCACAACGCCAATGGCATGGTGGGCGGTGGTGATCATGGACCAGATTCGTTGCACAGCGGCGTACGCATTTACACCGATGCCAAAGACCTGTCCGAGTATGTAGATATGAACTCAATTGACGATATTGCGGCCATAATTGGCTCAGCGATAGCCGATACCACAGTGCCCAACCAACTGGATAAGGATGATGGCAATGATACGCGTGATTCCTGGATGGATCTGGATGCGTGGATCGATGGAAATTGTATACAACAGGATGGGAAGCTACTGGTGTCACAACAGGATACGCTCAGCGAATTCATCTTGCCACACTCACCCGTGCACCCGAGCAGTTCGACGCTACAAAGCTTGCTGACGCACGGTTACATGCCTTTACTGCACAACCGACTGCAGAATGGCCCACCACAACAGCAACAGCATTCAGCCAATACGACGGCGTTAAAAAGTGAAGCGCCCAGTTCTACCTCATACTGTAACGAGCTGCCCACAGCGTCGTCTACTTCCAGTCCACCGGGATCCGTGGTGTCAACCACAGACAATCTGATGATCAATCCGCGCTATCTAACCAATCAGCATCAATACCAAGTCACTATGTCGTCGATGAAGTCCGACGGTCTCTGTAGTCCCGACATGCTTGGAAATTATCCACACACGACGACAATTACACCCACCGGCACACCGAAAACGAAACGGTCACGCTCTCAAAAGAAATCCAGTCAACAGCAACAGGCGCAAGCGAACGCACAGTCCAACAGCAGTAGTGGCGTACTCGGACCGCAACAACTCAACGCAATTTCACCATCCTCCGTCAGCTTTAGCGCCAATGACCTTTCCGGTTTGTTGGGCAAAGAGAAACCCGTACATCGGTGTAGTATCTGCAATCGTGGCTTCCTCAACAAGAGCAACATCAAGGTACACCTGCGAACGCATACGGGCGAGAAGCCATTCCGTTGTGACGTCTGCGCCAAAGCGTTTCGACAAAAGGCGCACTTGCTCAAACATCAACAGATACATAAGAGAATTGGGCGTGACTGACACGATGCGCGCGAGGATCACGAACAACAACAACAAACTGTTGCCGTGATGCAAGCCAACATGCGAGCGTTCAAGCCCAAATCTACAAAATCGTTGCGTCTAAGAGTGAACTGAATGTGTGTAAGTGTGTAAATGAAGGCGTTGAAGGGGTAGCTGTAGCGTGGCTATCTGAAATGGTTGCCGGGCTGGAGCTATGCCCACAGCCGACACACATCAACACTCTCAGAGGCAGCGTAGTTTTCATTAAAGGTGTTGAAACGATAGCACAACTGGAATGTAAGAGTGCAGCTGCTGAGCGGGCTACAAGTCAACTCTCAGTCAATCAACTCCAGTGAGTATTTCGTACTTCAATGTCCTTCAATGAGCATGTGCGTGTTACGAATTCCTTAATAAGAGCCATATTCGACAAAATGAGGTAAGTGTTTTCTGCATATTAATTTGACTACACTTGACAAACACTTGCAGTCCATTGGATAAGAGTATAATCTTTTGTAGTTTAGTTGGTAATGAAAATACTTTGATACAATTTCATATTCGTAAGTGGTGTTGTTTTTTGAATACGCGACACGCACTCAATATTTGTTATTCGTTGTTGTTGGTTGCTTTTGATCTCTTTAGTTTTACTCTTTGTTAGTTGAATCTAGTTACTTAGTTGATGAGTAGTGGGCTGGAATTTATGTACATATACATATTGAATTGGGGTAGGTCCCTCTACAATTAAGTCTGTATAAATATATTTAGAACATTTGAGCCAGATAAAATCTAGTGAAATTGTAGCATTAGCAGGCAAATATATTTATGGATAGCAAAAGTTATAAGTTCTAAGTAAACATCACTTGGTTTTAGCTTTGAAATTTGTTTCCAATTTATGTTAAAGACTTGGTATATGCAACACCTAAAAATCCAAAAATCTGCTATGAAAGCCAGTACATCTCGTAGACTTCCTACATCCCCCTGTTGGTCTACTTTAAATAATTAAAAAAACGACTCCAGCGCTTTTTCCTGCCAGTTTATTTTGTAGAAGGTATGGTTGCGTTGTTTATATGTATCCAACAGATTGAAGTGGAAATGTGAAAAATGGAATACTCTACGAGAGTGCCAAATCTGGACCGTTTTAAGCTTTAAAAACGCTCTGCCTTGAGTGTAGGTAATCATTTTACTCAATTCAATGGTTTCCCAAAATCAAGCATGCCCAAAACATATTCCGCAGGAGAACTTATTTTATAGCTTTCTGTAAAGTAAAAGCTCTCCCTGGTCGTCACTGACTTAGGTAAAATTTTAAAGCGGGCCTTCGCTGATAGCAGAGGAAAGAAATAGGTGGTTATAACGTAAGAAAAAGCTTCAATTTTTCCAAACTCGTTCAAAGTTCATATAGGTTTGACTAAAAAAGCCTTCTCCGCATGCAGAGCTCTTATATTTATGCACAGTTTAAAAGCACTCTGGTATAATACGGGTTTGAATTAAAAATTAGGCAAAAATCGCACTCTGGCCATTTAGTCATCCAGACCAACTCTATATTATCTAGAGCATTAGCTTTATTAATAAGTTTTTTGAAAATTCAAAGGTTTTTGCAAGAAAAAGTTCAATAAGATCTATAGAAAATTGTTGTCAAGCTTTTGAGGCAGACGCTAAAAGGTCAATATTTTAACTGAATCCATGTCAGAGTCGGCCACTTCAACAGTATGCGCGTAAAGGTGGAAACAAGCTTTAACGCCATCTTACTCGCTACTATCAAAATGCTTGAGGTTGGAAAAACTCTATTCCAAAACATTTTCGCTAAACCTTACTCGAGAGCTTTTCCAAAAATTTCCCAAATCTTAATAAGCTCTAAAAAACTACACTTTTGTAATTAAAAAGCTTTGTAAATTCAAGTACTTCTTACACTGTGGCGGGATAACGTGATCAATAAAAATAGCTTTTAAAGCTGCGATGGATCTGTCACAACTAACACATATCCTCTGGGAGAAGAGTTTTAAAGCCTTTTTATTGGCACGCACAGAGTAAAAGCTCTCTTTTTATTACCTCCCTTTTATTAGCTCGGGATGTAACTAAGTAATATTGATGCGCCTAAAAGATGCAGCGATTTTTATTCTCAAGGTACATACCTGATGACAGTACGAATGGAAATTATAATAGCGAGGTTTTAGTTTTTTGAACTATAATTTTATTTTCACTGTTCTCAGGCGACGATCTTAGCTTTTATCTTATATTGGCGCATATAAAATATGTAGTTTGTTCCAGTATTCTTCATGCAAAAACCTGTGGAACTGTCAAACTACAATATTACTCTCTCAAGTGAGAGTAAAAGGAGAACAGTTACAGAAGTGTACCGGACCGCAAAAAGCATTATTTCCTGCACAAACGTCAGTCGCTTGGTTTACATGTCATTGGTAGAACACTGATTTGGCTGAAAATCAGTAAATAATTATTAAAAAACTATAAAATTAAGAATAACTGCGTACATATTCAAATATTTCGTTGTTTACTTCCATTTCTGATCGCACCGCGGTCTGTGTTTGTTTATAAATGCAAGCCTTCCTATCGTTTGACACTTTTCATGAACTTGCAGGAAGAAAAACTTCGAGCAAAATCCTGTAACTTCTGACTGGGAAGAGTTGCTCTCTTACTCGCCCAAAAGTGTTCCCAGTGAGAGAAATTCTTGCGTACGGGAACGACTTCCTGTAATTTCATACTATTTCTTACTATGTCCTAGTGTACTGGAACAAACTTATAAATAAGGCTTTAAAAAGATTTTTCGCTGGATTGGTCCAAACGTAGAAAAAGCTCAAAAAGTTCTGAAATAGCGTTGGAAAGAGGGAATTTTTATTAAATGCCGTATATAAAATATACAGAAAAATTATAACAGCTTAGGTCACGTGCCTATGAAGTAGCTAAATGGACTCTAAACACGCTGAACTTTTTTCTCATTCGCGCTTCCAACAATAAACTTGAAAGAGACAGTCTGAGAGCGATTAAATTGTAACCAGACTGCAGTAGGCCTGAACTTTTTAGAATAAAATCTTCTCTTGAAGTTATAAACCAAAAACGAGATTTATAGAGCTTAAAGCTTTTAAAGCTTCCATCCAATGAAGTAATTGCATTCCGACAGCTACGGAACGAACTTTTTAGTTTTCACTCAATGTGAGAAGATGCTCTTTTTAAATCTGGAACTAATTAGAAGCATTCAAAAGAAAGAAATAGGCATTTTTCTTTCCATAGGCTATAATAATTTCGTTTATTTACCGGTATGAAAATGGGAAACCCACAAATCCGAATGCGCCCAACGATTGAGACCGTTATCTTAATAGGTGTGCTTAGAGCTTTCAATCGTAAAACAATAAGCCAGTAAGAGAGTGAGTGTAATCAGCATGAGTTACAATTTTGAGTACAAACTCAAAGAGAGCACAAGCAATGTAAGAACAACGGAGCGTCCAATTGTCTTTTTGCAACTGTTGTTCCGTTTTGATGCAAGTGTGCGCTTTACCATCGATGATGAGCTGGGGCGTATGCGTAGCGCCAATACCTTGAATTTTTTTTTAATGAGTTCATTGTTTTTTGTGTTAATTTCAAAAACTAGTTAATAAGTCTGTAAATTTATATATACATATAAATATTTATATGTAAATGTAGGTTCTTAGAACAGTGTTTAAAAAACTTAATTTAATTTTAAATAAAGCTATGCGCAAATAATTTGTAAAATATGCAAATGCATAGGTCGCCAATAGCAGGTGTTGAAGAGAGCAGAGAAATTGTACCTCAAAGTGGAAAATATTTCATACAAGTAATTAAGCAATACAAAAGTTTTTAAAATTTTTACAAAATAAATAATTAAATAAGTATGCGTAAAAAATTATATAAAACAATGTTTTTTTTTTAGAAATAAGCCCTAAGCAATACTGTACAAATGAATATGCAATAATGTGGCAAAATGCAGAAGCGAAATGTGCTTGCAATTATTATTAGCAGGAAATTTTAGCAAATCGTACTAATAATAACTAAAAATCGATGCAATAAAAAGGATTGGCAACAATATAGCAAAACTTTATAGCTAACCGCCCTGGTGGTGTTTCAGAATTTAGCTTTATTGATAAAATGAAAACCATATGCCAGTAAAATATAGAAATTCATTAAAAAATATAGTTTTGGAATTTGTGTTGAAATTTTTAAACTATGCAAGTATATGTGTACCATTATTTATGTTATAAAGAAAAAACTTCCTTGCTTATTATAGTAAAAATAGAAAAATAAACATGCTGAATCTATGGATGCTTTTCCTTTAAGTTATATACACTCAATTGTGTTAGGCATGCGCAATTTAAAAAATTATATTTTAATTTAAACAAATTTAATTTCGTGCTTCAAAAGGAAATATTTAATAAGCAATAAATGCAAATTTAACTTTATAATTAACCAGCAAGCACTTATTTAGGAATGTTAAATTAGAAAAACAATTTATTGTAAGGTAATTTAATGTAAAATATTTATTATTTATTTTTAATTAATTACTCTTGTGCAATTATTTATTTAAATGGTTATACTTTCCCCTAACTTTCCTTTTAAATCAAAAAGAATTTCTCTCCTTCTTTCCTACCTGTTCATTTCAAAGCTTTTTAGTATTTTTATTTTGAAAATATAAAACTGTAAATAATTTATACTTATTATTTTAGTTTTAAATTTCATGAAATTATTTTTAATTGCGTTGCAAGTTGTTTCTGAAAAAATTATAAATATACATATTTTTTGCCTAAAAGAAAATGTGGATGCTACTGAATTAATTTTGATATTTTGCAAAGTAGAGCAGGTAAGTTAAAATTATAAATAGATTTAAATACTTTATAATACTTTTGTCCACATTCAGTTAGTACATATTGAGAAAAAACAGCTATGAAAAATTTTTAACATTTTCAGGACCTCAATCTTATCATAATATTGTTACAGTGCCCACATAATTAATTCTTCAACGATAATTATTTAAATTTAGTGTTCTATTTATTCGTAGTACATTTCAACCGCATTACTCTCCCCATAACCACAAACACGTTTTCGTCAAAAAATGTAACAACTTGTGAGATTTGCTCTTATAGACTGTCTTAACTCCATCATGTTCTACTTGTACAGTCCTTCCCACGATTGAGAGAATACAAAGGTTGCGCCGATCTCGG